TGCAGGGAACTTCCGGTCAAGGCGGAAGGGGCCGGGGAGGCGGCGCGGCGCGTGGCCAGAGGGGCCGCAGGAGCCGGGGCGGTGCTGCCAGGCGTCTTTAAACAGCCAGCTGTCGGCTGGACCGACACGGAAGACCCACTCGTGACAGCAAGGGGACGGCAGCCAGCCGTTCGTGCGGGCGCCGCCGCCATGGCCCGGGCCCACCTGGGACGCGGGGACGGGATGCCGGCGTGCGGCCTGGGGCCCAACAGCCCGGCGTGGCAGGGGTCCGATGCCGAGGGTGGGGGACTCTCGCTTGCACGGGAGGGCGCAGGCCCCACTGGGAGGGGCGAGGAGGGAAATTAGAAATATTCTACTCCCAAATGTATATTTCTTTGACCTGTTTTCGGTAAGGCAGACCCTCATCGACCTAATACTAACCTGTTACTTGGCTTCTGCAGTTGCATCAGCCGCCTGCGACCCCGCCCTTCGGGCCACCCCCACCTAATAACAGCGGGGAAATCCCGGTAGATGGGGCTCAGAATTTGGCGGCCAGACGCCTCTCATCCCGCCGGCGAATACACCTTGATTCTCGGACTCTCGCGTGCCGCTCGGTTTGTCCTCGGAACGCCCGCTGTAACGCTGGCTGTGACATTTTGGGGTGGCTCTCACGAGTCTCCCAGATAGAAGTGACACTGCAGAGCTGTCTTGGTGGGGCAGATTCACATGTGCAGAACATCTGCATTAGCGCAGCCAGATCTAGCCCTACCTGACCTAGGAAAGATGGTTAACTGAGAGTCTGACACCTCTAAAGGTCTGAAAAGAAACACGCACCGGCTGTTCTCGGTCGAGGGCTGCTGGAAGGTGTCACGTTCGTGACAAGACTGCCTTTGCCAGCTAGTCAAGCCTCTTCCTTTTTCCCTCCCCCAAACTTGCTTTTCACTTCAAGCCCCTAGTCTTCAAAACCTCTGTGCCTCACTGGAGAGTCGAATCTTGATTTTGAGAGCTCCTGTGTGTGCATGTTAAGTAAAATAAATTTCTACCTTTTTCCTCCTACTCATCAATCTGCCTCATGTCAGTGATTTTTCAGTGGAGCTGAGGGGGGCAAGAGCCTTTGCTCCCCACAGTGCCCAGGTCAGGGCTCGGGCTCAGAGGAGCCGGACGAAAGTTTAGTCTTCGTCGGCAAGGAAACCATGTCATTTCCAGCCTCACCATGCTTGTTGGCGTTTATTTAGGCGGAACCTCAATTGCATAACATGTGGAGGGAGGGACTTGCCCTGATCGCTCGCCTGCCCCTGTCCCCTCTGCCCAGCTTGCCCACAAAGACACGTTTGGGAACGAAGCAGAGAAAATTCTAGAGTGTCAGAACTGGCGAGGAAGGAGGACTGGGGAAGCAGAAGCAGAAATGCACAGAGCTGTTTGCTAAAGTGATTCTCAGCGAAATGAGGGGTCCTGCTTGTCCTGCGTGCCTGAGCCCCCAGCCCTGCCGCTGCTTCGCTTGGGTGTTGCGTGTGTACGAGGCACATTTGAGATCGACTTCGTGTGGCGAGGGACTAGCGAACAGGAGTTCAACGCAAAACTTAGAAAAAGGCTTTAGAAAAACATCAGCCCACTGGGCACTGGGGCGTCTGCTGGCCAGATTCGCCTCTGACAGCACGACCTCGAACGGCTCCGGCAAGCCCCAGGTGGGCGCTCCTGAGAATAGCAGCGTCATAAATACAAACAGATGAGAAGAAGCAAACTCGTGAGTATCGTTAAGGCTCAGAGTATTCAGTGTAATCATCCTGAGTTGTTTCCTGAGGAGCTCGTGATGATCCTGCGATTTCCACAGTTGATTGATTCATTGCTTTGGAGGCGAAAGGGTGTCCTTGAGAGAGTGCTCGAACTTCCCGGTAAGCGGTGCGGCTGGATTTGTTGCCATTGTTCCTGCCACTGTTCAGGCACTGGGCTCTCGTCCTGTTTGTCCCTGCTCTGGGGGACACCGCCCTTTCTTAGGCAACTGCTTTCTTTTGTTTTGGGCTCAACTTTGTTAAATCAAAGTATAATAAATATCAAGATTGTTTGAAGCCAGAATAGGCTGCTGTCCAAAATTATGTGCATTCTATTTGCTGGTAGATAGCTGTTTTAAATAAATCAGCCTTGTCCATTTAGTTTTTTCTCACTGTTGGTATTCTGTTCTCGTTCTCTTATCACAAGGTGAGACTTTGTGTTTGTCGTCTCTGCATCTTCATGTCTTCCTGGAGATTCAGGACTACCTGTCCGGCTAAAATTTCTACAACAGTGTTGCACAAATCATCAGGACTCTAAGCTATCTGATATTATACATATCATTTATTCATTAGTTTTTAAAATTTATTAATTATTAAATTAAAATACTAATTTATTAAATATATTGTACTTCTGTTTATTTGACTGCACTGTTTCCTTTTTCTAACGGTATGTGGGAGAGTGTCTTTAATGATGTACCATGAGCAATTCAGGCATCCTTAAGGGTGGTGACGTTCAAACTCTTGACTGTCATTCACAGTAAGCAATAAATTGTACATTGCGGTCCAGAATACACACGTGTGGGACGTATAATATGTAACTGGGGCTGAAGTTTGGCTAAGCAATACTTATCCCTCTCTGTGTGATCCTACACTCTGTACTTTCTGTTATTCTGTATTTTACTTCATTGAAAAATGCTGACTGTACCTTAGCAAGTAGACTTCCTGGTTCAGGAATGGGCTGCAATTTGAGCCTGAAGGAACCGCTTAATGGTCCATCAAGTATTATCTTAGAAAGTTAATTCCAATAGTCGTTGGAGATTAACTACAGGCAGCTTGTCTTTTTCCTCCTATTTTACAGTTGGAAGAACTCGAAGTCCAAATAGGTTAAGACTTCCGTGCAGGAAAACAGTGCTGCTTTGTGTTTGTGTCATCACTCCTGTTTGTTCCTGGAACCATGCGGTGGCCAGTTAAACCACAGGAGCTCTGTAATTTTTGAATCTAGAATTCTGCTCCTGGACGTCTTCATGGTGATGAATAAACTATACCCACTTTCCCTTCCCCCATTGGATTTTGAGCTATTTTCTCCCTCTATTAGGTTATTTTCCCCTCTTCTCAGTCAATGGGAAGCCTGTTAACAGAGCATTAAGAGCAGTGTCTCCTCTTCCAGGGGTGGCACACAGCTGTCATTATGACAAACCCAAAGGAGAGAGTAGATTGAATAAAGAACAACTTTAGGTGCATACTTGGACATTAAAAAATCTAAATGTGCAATTTCTGTAAGGTAATTGCAATTTTAGCTTTTGACAACTGCATACATCTTGGTGTATTTGATGTTTTTTTATTTTTCCTTTATAAATAGTAGTGAATTTGTATCAAAATCTGACACTTTTTTTTTTTTTTTTTTTTGAGACAGAGTCTCACTGTGTTGCTGGGGCTAGAGTGCCGTGGCGTCAGCCTAGCTCACAGCAACCTCAAACTCCTGGGCTCAAGCGATCCTCCTGCCTCAGCCTCCC